ATTGTATGCATACATTCCATAAGACCCTATGTATATATATTAGGTTGCTATTCCATACATCCCTAGGCTAGGGATCCACACACCCTTTGAGGTATGGTGATGTGTTCGACACTGAGACATGAGACGGTGCCAGGGTCGAGTCCAGTCATACCGAACCTGAGGTTCGGTAGGACTGGATCTTTACAGGGACATCATGTGAACATGATGGATCAATCCAGGGAAATCCGAACAAATCCAATATAATCCAGTCCAGCACCACGGATTCCGGGTGTCCATTCATAGCCCCTCATGTTGAGGTCATTCGGGGTGCCCATGTCTACCACCCTGAAGTCGGGGGGTCCAGGGTGTTTTGGTTTTGATCAGTCACTGGGATTTCTGAGACAGTCGACCACGGAATTCGCTCTTTGGATGGTTTGTTCAGTCAATCAAAACGGCATGACCTGCAAAACGAGTTGATGGGGTCACGCCTCTCTGGGGTTGTACACGGGATTGTACCAAATTGGAGCTTCCGATCATCGATCGTTTGAGGGAAGAAGTGGTTGAGTGCTCGGAAGCCCTGCTCATGCGAAATCCGAACCCTGGAGGAGACCGCCCTTCGGGCACAGAAGGCTCTCCATATGTCTTGGATGCACGCCAGGCCGCGAGTCTAAGAGGGGCTCATGTGGGTGATGGGGGAAGCTGCTGTGGTGGCAGCGTAGACTGGGCGATGTGGGTGATCTGAGTGTTCACATGTGAAACGTCCACAGACTCCGGACATTTGTCCGAGAATATTATATTGACAACGCATGAGCCTTCATGTTTTTTGGCATGAGTCAGCATTTGGATGACGCACATCTTTACGGCGGTTGAATTCCATGAGGACGTCATAGTGTTCAAGCTTTGACAATGGATTTTGATCCCTAGCCTTCAAAGACCATTACAAGAATGGTTGACCTGGTTTTGTAGTCCACAGTAGATTCCCTAGGAAAACACTACTGACAGGCTTCGGCAACCGGCGATGCCCTTGGGTAACTGTTCACACACAATCTTCCGGTAACTGTTCAGGAGGTTGCCTTTGCAGAGGCAAACCGCTGAAGCACTTCCACGTGCTCTCGTGCTCTCATCTCCAACCTCCACTTTTGGCTCTTCGCTGGAAATATCTTTGGGATACAGATTTCCCGTGACATGAAGTCCAAGAAGTGTATTATTGCATCATGTCCTTGGCTGCCCTGCCAGTCAACGGCCTGGCTGGAATCAGCATGCTCTGGCAACACTTCTGAAACCACTTGGAACTCCTCCAGTGGGTCAGCCTATCATTGGCAAAACATTCCCATCCAACATCACCATGCCAGGTACATCGAGGTCTACTTGATGTCGGAGGAGTGATTGGGAAATGTTTTTCTTTTAAAGCCTGACCCAGCAACCACTGATAACAGATTGAACGAACAATGACCAGCTTCGGGGCCCAGCTAGCTGCGCGTCCTCCGCAACACATGACCTCTCGCGTTTGGGGGTCTAACCGAACTCCCTGGCACTCCTGGTCCTTTTAAAAGCCAGCTAATCAACCACCCCTGGCCCGATCCACAAATAGTCCCAGACTTTCCAAGACAGTTCGTGTTTGAAGATTCTTCAATTTCGATCATGTTTTTTTGAGTCCTTAGATGAGAATCTCATTCTTCCATTCTCATTAGTACATGCCTTTCACCTCATACTGCATGCACATACTTTCCTCCACACTATCGCCTTCATTTTGAACCATTCACATTGGGTATCTTGGTGCTTTGAATGGAAGAACTGGCGCAGGTTCACCTTGAAGTTGCGAAACTGTGTAGCACCTCGCAAGGCTTTCAGGCAGCAAAACAAATCGCCACCCAAGAGTTGCCAGAACAATATTCGGACCTATACACTCTCTCGCTAACCTGGAATGGTAGAATTGTACAGATGTTGCATCGACTGCTGGCTTTTGCCTCTCAGGAGGAACGCTTTGTGGAATCCTTCCACCTGGAGCCTGGCGCCCAAGGTGTGCAAAGCTGCGTCCGAGCTGAGGGGAAGGTCTCCAGGTGTTCCATGACACCTTTGGCATGGCTGTAGACTGGAGATTGAAAGCATTTGACCGAGCTGAGGTACCGAAACCCACTGCTGGAGCAAGCCAGCGAGTGCATGCTTCGGATGTGCGCGGGCCTAGCCAGGGGGTGGATGTCGGGTGGGAGCTGCCAGGGTGAGGGTTTGGGGGAGCAGGAAGTGTTGTATTGCATGATTCAGTACCTGAAGCATCATGGAAAAAAGTGGATGGTATGCCCCCTCGGATGACCATTTATATCATTACCATGATGTTCATTCCTGTTCCCTCTAGAAATGGTTTTTGTCCATGTCACAGCTGATGATTCCAGCACCTTCCAGGGAGTCGAATCGGCTCGCTCCCTTCGCCGCTTGAGTCGTGACCGGTGAGAAAACCCAGACAACCCTCCAGTCCAGACCGATCTTTAAGAGGCTTCCTGGTGGCGTTTGAGAGTCGGAGAGGGAGAAGAAGAACACCATGTGAACGCATTCACCCCATGCATCACCCGAAGAGCTCCGTGGACCGCGGAAGAGCGAACGAGTGAAGAGCTCGTGGCAAGCAGCTTCGTGGCAAGTGGACATGGAAGCGAACGACGATCACATGTCTTGAGTGACCTAAGTATTCACCACGGAATGGGTTCAATCCGTGTCTATTCTTCGAAGGAAGCCACTCAACCTCAATGGGCTCAAGGGGTTATGAATTCTCCAATCTTCCGCTTTCGCCTTGCTCCAGCTGACACAGCAGTGTGGAAGTGATGGAAAGCACGAACGCACAGAAGTTGGACGAAACAGAACTGTGAGTGGCTGAGGTATCCCATTCTTCAAACATATTATTCTAGTATAGTTCTATTCTATGCACCTTTTTCCTGCACAGGTAGAAGTGATGCCAAGGCAAAAGCAAGATATTTGTCGATTTGGGGTCCTCCGAGCTAACATGGGCATGGGCGATGTCAATGAAGAGCGTTAACATGAACCTTTTTTTCTGGATGTATCTTCCTGCATGTCCCTCTCAACATGTTGATTTAACATGCTGGGACATGAAAAACATTGCTGCAGACGATGATCCGTGACCTAAAGACTGGGAGCTCAAGATGGAATCGACATGAGCTCGTCATTTTGGCTACTTCTCTCAAGTGACCCATGTCCTGGTCCCATGTGCTGCGACCCCTTTGCCACGAGTTGCAGCGGGCCTGGAACAAGCAGCCGCTGCTGTTGGAGCGGTGCAACCGAGAGGCGGCACACTTGGCTGAAGAAGCCTTGAAGGACGAGAATCCCATCGTTGGGGTCTAGGTTTGAGATCAGCTTGGATGAGAGGCAACTAGCTTGGATGAGTGGCAAGTAGAGTCGCGTAGAGATTTTCAGGATGTTCAAAGGCTTTTTAAACCGGAAGTTCTGGAAGAACATACTGTATACCTGTTAGCCTTTTGAAAGACCATTAAACACATGGTTGACCTCGCTTTGTAGTCTAAAGTCCTCGTTACAACATGTTCAAATCTGTTGTATTGGCAGGAACCATGACATCATCTGTGAGCCCAAAATCCTACTTTCTAATCATGTGTTTTCACCTCGTAGACCACTCCAACCTCTCCTGATGTGCGGCCAGGACTTTTCGCTCTTCGTGGACTCAGGGCTGCTGCCTGCCGGTAGCGCTGCGCCCACTTCCAGTGCCACGGCATCCTGGTGGTCACAGCCAGTACCAGGCACGAACGGTGCTCCTGGTGGTGTGGATGTGTGTGTGTGAGAGTATTGTGGTTCGGGTCAACAGCCAGTGAAGGTGTTGAGGCTCCAAAACCCTGCTACTCCTGCCACGCAGGGTCAGTGGTCGGGTCCAATGATGGTTATATGGTCCCCAACCAGATAGATACTGATCCCCACATCGATAACATGGCGCTTTTGTTGGACATCCGGTGCCATCCTCTCTACCAGCACCCTCCAAGTCCGGTGGTTTTTGGACACCTCGACTCACCTCTAAGAGGCTGTTTATAGACACCTCAAGCGGAGGGTCCTGGTATATGGGTGGTTAAGGATGTCTTCAATGGGTCAATGTCGGTAGAAACCTTTGGTCCCATGGATTCATGGGGCTGCTGACATGTCACAAATTCCTGGCTGCTGCACCGACTATCACCGACTCCCTATCACCGACTCCCTTCTAAATTAAAATCATGAAACATCACTGAAAAACCGCGATATAGCGGAGCTTTGGTTCGCTTGGGCGGACTTTTTCGCTTTGGCGGACGCCTCACGAGACAATCCTGGAGGCGCCACGTTCGGTGCGACCCCCACATCCACCTGGTGGGGCCCCAAGCTCCAGCGGCCCGTCCTTGTTTGGGAGCCAAGTAACGACGTCACCCGGCAGCTTCACACCAGCGTGTGAAGTCCAACAACATCCAACGACCAAGCCAGACTTCATTCTTCATGATTCACATTTTGAAAAGGCTGGAATTCCCAGTGGATGGGCGCATAGCTGGGAGCTAAGAATATCAGAACCTGCGTGTGTATTCTAATGGGGAGATCGGGACAATTGCTGGCCCAAGATGGGTATTTCCTGATCTATTGTCCAAACCGAACCCAGGGGGGTTGGAACGCCTGGGAGGTCTCCCTATTTGAGCTACACATGCATAACATGTTGGGATATGTTGGGACTATATGGATCCACTTACATCCTTGTTTGCTTGCGCCAAAGCACGCTGCCCCGTTCAGCTGTTTTTTGGCCCCGAGAACGGGGAGGTTCCAGTGTGCACTGCATGTCATGTCTCAACATGTCCGCAGATAGATCAGATGCAAGCAGGAGTCATTCAATCCCGCCCCTTACGACTTCGATGGCACGCAGATAGGACTCCGTTCGGAACTGAACTTCAGAAAGCTCCACTCCTGAGAAGGCACGATGATCAACGACCACAAAGGCTTCGTGACCCCTGGATTCGTGATCCTCACCAGCCCTCTGCCAATACTTATGAAAACGGTCAGCTAGACCTGACGAAAGCTCGAATTCTTTGCAACTTTCTTCCGAGCAGACTATAAGAAATGGAGACACGAGGCAGAGGAGGGGGACAGGGAGTGGAAACAGCTGCCACTTCGGTTGAGAGACGATATCCCTGAAAATATCGAGGTGGAACACCTGCCAAAGATAGTGAGTGGCCCTGGTGGCCCAAGTATGGCCATTTCTGTCGGTGGAGCTGGGTTTCATTCGACCTTCCAACGGGACGAATTGGGGTTGGCAGAATCGCCCATCAAGTAGTTTTGAAACGCTCGCTGACCAGCTAACAACCCCCCTGAGGGATGTCACGTAAGGAGATCTCTCAGTCCCAGTAGAGCTTCATGGTCCTGGTTCTTTCAAGTGACCCAGACTCAGATCCCGGGTTGAGGTCAGGAAGAGGCCTGGATAGGGGGTCAGTTTCAGGGGAAAAAGGTCACGCACTGAAGAAGCTGGGTGTGTTCTCAATTTCTACAGTTTGATGGGTTTCCACTGGCCCGTGTTCACACGGCCGTTCTAGATGATGTTCCTTCGTGCTGCACAACAAGACCGTCAGGTTCCTTTTCATACCTTGAAGCAACAAGACAGAGATTAAAGACATAGACTTTTATTCGGGTCACCTGGCTCGAAGCCCCTACACTACTTAGGGATCTCCATCGAACACCCCTTTGAAGGTCCAGCTTCACTTTGACATATTTTCCAGTCCTTGAGTCCAAGTGGATTACTTAAAACATAGGCCGTGTGTTACAAAACCATTGGGTGCGTAGCCGACCTCCAGGACCTCACATAGGTGCCAAAGATGAGTGAGATGCCAGGGGGATGAGAACAAAGATTGAAACACATCCTGCAGTACAGTTCAAAGAGTTCGTTTCACCTTAGCAACCTGGCATCCGGAGTTTCCCATCATGAAATGCCCAAATCCATTCAATGCTCAGCCGTGTAGCAGTAGCTCAGCTGCTCAGCTGGGGTAGCAGTGGCTCCGCGAGGTGGTCGAAGAGTCCTTCGGACTTGCCTGGCTCTATCGACACTTGGCAGCTTCGGACATGGCGTGGATAAGCGGGGTCAAAACAGATCTTGGGAGAGTCCAGCTAGTCCAGATTGGGAACACTGGCAGGCGCTGCACCCCCCGGACTGTGGCCGGCTGGACTCTCCGCTGGGGCCGCTGGACTGTAAGATGTAAGTTTCTCGTGTTTTCTTCCATGTGCAGTCCATAGAATCATCATGGGTTACATGGAAAACCACCTGTTTGGTTTTCGAAACATGGTCATCCAAAAACGGGGCCGGCCGCGTTCTCCATGTACCCACCATGGAGTGTATTATTAGGGAGTGTATTGATGCATCTTTCTGTTTCGCTTTGGGATGTGAGCTGGAGAAGGGGCTTGCAGCTGCGATGACCCACTCGAAACCTTCGGGGTGCGCCCGATGGTCGTCCGACCTGCCATGCACTCGTTCCACCGGTTGACGCCGTTTTCGTGCCGCTCGTGCCCGGTCGGTGTGGTGTCACCGACAGATGAGTGTGTATTTTGATATACCCTACACCTCCAAGTACCTCCTCAGAAGGTACGACTGGAGCCCTAGGGATACTGTATACAGAGATACCCGCCCCTGGCTGGGTGTTTCCTGGTCTTCCCGAACCAAACTCATTGGGTCGGAAGATGCCTTTGAGTTGATCTCCACCAACCGGGGCGAAGGAGGAAGTTCCGAACTCCACACCTTGAGTGGATGGCTTGAAGCAAGTGGTTTCACCTGCCAAACCTTTGCGGGATTGGGGGACCCTCCCCACTCAGAACTGGTGGACAGTGCTGTCCAGGGAGAAGAAACATGAAGAAACGGCCGTCAACTCTGTCAGATGTTAGAACGTATTATAGAACCCATCACCCTGGACCCTCCAAAGTACCTTAGAAAACACCATGGTACTTGTACCCATTTTCCGAGGTACTTTGAGACTCCAGGACTGAAGCCATTTTGAAGGGATCGATCTTAGGAGTCTTAGGAGTGAGTCAGTGAGTCAGTGACTCATCCTTGCACCCGGATTGGCCTCCCATCGATCAAGAAAAGCATCGATCAAAATCCGGGACGTCATGATCCTTTGGGATGGTTCTTGAGCGGCCAGATGCGGGTGCCAGATGAGTTGTCTTCAGGACGTAACTCTGGATCCTGTGTATTCCGAATGCCTCACCTCACCTGGCACCAATTCACCCGAGGCTTCTTCCAGCGACATGGCTCTTCGTGTCGCCGCCACACTTCTTCGGCCCTGGCGAGCGCCGCGCGCTGCACCGCGCGCTGCACAGGTGGGGCGGTTCGTCGGGGTTCTGACGGCGCTCTGTTTTATTGGGGGAGTCCGGAGCGATGTCCCCAACAACCCACAAGATGCGAAGATGGACCAGCCCATGGACCTGTTTCTTCCACGCGTTTCTAGAACTAGACCAAAGAATTCCAGTTCCCATGAATTGGGATTTGATGCATGGTCCGTGGGTCTAAAAACAGGACATTCCTTTACTTCGGTGCTGAAAAATTGCCGAACTGCACTTTTCCCTAGGGCTCCAACCACATCCTCAGAAGGTGGTTAGACCCCCCAAGTCCACCCAAACCATCTTCTCAGGAGGTGGTTGGAGCCCTAGGGTTTATAGGCTATTCCTTTGGTGGGATCCATTTCCCAACCACCGTGGGAACCGCCAGAGGACCCCAGACCTTTCCACAGTTTGGATCCTCAAGGTTGTCACCTTTGTGCCATTCCTGTTCCTGCCACCCGAGAAGATGCTTCCATGACCCCATGACACCCCAAAAAATATCATCACAGATTCGGTTTAAAAGGGAGAGCATCTAGAGGAAACATCATCCGTTTTGGCGATGAAAGCAAGGGTTTCCTTCCTTCCGAACAATTCCGTGGAGGATCTGAGGAGCTTCGGTGGAGATCGTTTGCAGCTTTGGATGGCAGAGTCCAGGTCTTTTCCAGGTCTCCAGGGTCTAGGTACTTGCTGTTGTACTTGGCTTGAGCACTTGCATGTACTTACAGCGGGTCACCACATCCACTCCAAAGCCTTAGACCCTGGCCATGGCCTGAACTTTGTTGGTCGGCCTGAACCTCTTCGAAGCAAGATGAACCTTTGGAGGTTCCATTATAAACCAATGGAATCCCGGTCACGGTGACGGTCGACCTCGAATCGCTTGAAAGTCAAAGAATGGAATCCATGCCCTACAAGTCAAAGAGCTCATTTTACTGGAGATAGTCATACAAAACCAATACTTGAGGAGGTAAAAGACCAGGTTTTACTGGGTCAGACTGGACTTGTAGGGATGGTGTGAAAAACCGGAGGTTTTGTCCTGTCGACCGGTGTCCAGGGCCACCAAGCCAGCTGGGCCACTTTTGCCCTCTGAGCCCATGGGCGTTCCATGGAACAAGGCGCAGCTGCTGAAGCGAACGGAAGACTGGGATGGGGGGGGTTGAATCGGAAGACGGCAAGAGCTTTGGGAAAACACACAAACGAAATCCATTGGTTAAGACGTTTTCCTTATAATGGGTGTGTATTTCAACAGGGAGACCCCTGGGCCCAATGGGACTGGTAGGAGGTCATTGCCTGGGAGGTCTCCCTGTTTGAGCTACAAACCCATTTTGATGTTACGTGTTTTTGTTGGCATGAGGTGGCGTTGGTGTTCTACTTTTGGCAATCCTGGTTTTCCATCAGATGTGCATAAGGAATGATACTCTCTCAGTAGATACAAGGTTGGATCGTTATAGCTATTCTTCGTTGGGAATCTCTAACGTGTTGGAAATGGCTGGAGTATGATGGAGTTCAGCTTGTTCGTGCAAGGGTTCGCCTGCAATCTTGGTTGTGAACCTCAACTAGTGCAGAATAACCTCTTCAGGTCGGTAATTGGAAATCCCTCAAATGATCACTGCTGATGCCGGAGTTTGAGGGTCGCATTGCGAAGCACGATCAACAAGTTGCAGTCTTCCTCATCTGTAGTGAAGGCTGCACCTTTGCACCATGCGTCCGTATTGTCCGTTCCTTCCTGAACGTTCTTCGGTTCGGGCAGTCTAAGAAAGCATGTCTTAAGCTCTGTCTTAGCTCCAAGCTGTTACGTGGTTTTTGCTGGTGTTGGACCTCAAATCGTCCAACGTGTGCCGTGTGCCACCAGTTTCTTTTGTTGTCCCTTCTCAAATCTTGTTCCTATTAATAGCTTCTTGTTACTACTAGTAAGGCACTTGTTACTAGAAGCGATGAACTCGAGCGAATCTTCTGGTGAGGCTGGTGGGTCTGTGACTGTGGAGCTCTTCTTAGATTTGTGCTGTCCATTCTCGAAGAGGATGTTAATGACGGTGGCAGGCCAGCCGCCAGCCATTTGAAGGGCGGTTTTGTGGCAGACTTGTTTGCTGTTTTTGTTTGTTTTGCCTGGTGCTTGATCATGCAAATGTATACATCATGGCCGGGCTTGTAGTGGCAGAGAACTAACATGGGAAGACCATATTCCTCTACGAACATGGTCTTCTTGCATTTGCACTGTGCTACATCACCATTTGTTGTGACAACTTCTTGGTGCCTTTGTCATGTCGAAACGGCGCGCGTTGCAGTGCCTCACATCTTGATCAACATATTCTTGTCGGTGGTTGTGTTGCTTTGGCAAGTTTGGATGTAGATGTAGAAAGACTGGCGAAAGATGTAGAAAGCTTTTCCATCACAGCTTGTCCCTAGGGCTCCAAGTACCTTCTGAGAAGGTTTTTGAGCTGGGTTTGGAAGTTCCAAATACATTCCAAGGAGGTGCTTGGAGCCCTAGGGCCCTAGGGTGTACATTCGCGAAGATCGTAGCTGCCAGCCTGGCTCCCTTGCTCATTGGCGCTGTTTCAGGTGGAGTGGCCAAAGCCTTTGAGGGGAAGGTCCCTTGGCCCACGACTGCCCGTTTCAGTCTCGGATGTTGGAAAGAGCCGTGCAAGCCACATGCAAGCTTTTGGGATGCAACATGAAGTTTCTCACATGGTTCAGGAGGTTCTTTTTCTGTTCTTCTCAGTTGTTCAAGAGAACTGTTCAGATGAATTCCCGTCGGGGACTCCTCTGGTCGTCTTCCACGGCCTTCCTTTCAGATCCCACTGAAGCTCGCTCGGTCGCCGTGGCGAAAGCGGACACACCACGGCCCAGGTGAACTTCATTTTCCACTCGGTGGTCCAGCCCTGGCATGCCCAGAGCTCTTATATGCACGAGCCTGGGCGGCACATGAAGAGTCTGTGTTTGATATGTCTTTTTTGCGGACAGTCGAAGGTTGGAATGACCTTGAGCTGAAAAAACGTGTGCCAAAATTAGCCTGGCTGTCCTGGGAAACATCTCTGGAAAACATGCCACACATTCTTCTCTCGTTTGGGCAAGCCAAGGGCACGAGACACAACTTGGGTCACGTTCAGCTTGCAGAAGACCGGAAAATGAGTGGCGCCGGCCCAACACACACACAGTTGATTTGTCCGTCCTGAAATAGGTTGGACTGGCTGTCCCATGTCCGACAACATGTGAGACATGTGACTACTTGGAGACTCAAACTCATATGACTCATATCCAAGTGTTTTGCCGCTTTAGCACACTTCAGAAGAGCAACACACACATATATATATATATATTTATACATACATACATACATAGAGAGAGAGAGAGAAACAAAAAAATATAGACACGAAAGACACATGAACAAAAATGAACAATCAAATGAAATACATAAATAAAGAAATACATACATAAAGAAAGCAATAAACAACGTCCAGCTTCTTCAAAGTAACCTCTTTGGAGTGCCTAAGTGACCTTTTGCAGGCCCAAGTGACCTCAATCTGGGATATCAAAAGGTCACTTTGAAGAACCAATAAGCAAGAAAGACAGAAAGACACAGAAAGACTGAACATAGAAAGACAGACAGACAAACAGGCAGGCAGACAGACAGACAATAGATAGAGAACGAGAGAGAACATATAGTATAGTATGGCTAAAAAAGCAACTAATTCTCATGTGTGCATAAAAAAGGGGACATCGCGGACTTTGCTGTGGCTTCTTAGGAGGCGTCCTTGGCTGTTTTGAAATTGCATGGCCGGGATGCCTTTTGGAAATATACAGCTCCTTGGCGTAGTCTTTTTGGAAGCAAAGTCCACCCAGAACTCAGGCATGATCTTTGGTCTTTAGCGGAAAGAATGTTTTGGCCAAAAAATAGGGGTCACTCAGGTTCCAGGTGGTCTTCAAACACCCGACAAGAAGGCCGACGCAAACACCTTTGACGGAACAGTTTCTGCTCAAGCGACGGAGTAGTGAATCTTCTGAAGTGTTTGAATCCCTAGTCTGAAGGTGTTTGGGATGGGTGACTTCTAGGTTGGAGGTCATCGCTAGTAGGTTGTAGGCCATTGCTATTAGGTTGGAGGCCATCGCTAGTAGGTTGGAGGACAGGCAGTGACAGGAGGGTTTGAACACCTGAGGATGTAGAACTGGAGCTGGGAGGAATTTCTTCACTCCCCCGCAGTTGGTGCTTGCCAGATGTCGGGGTGTCGATGTCCTTCCACCATTGACCCCCCTGGCACCACCCCAATGTAGGCATATTCCATACATGGAGCGTTTGGGTATATTATGGTTGATGTTCGTTGAGGTCCATGGTCTGATATACGTGCAATTTCTGCTCTCAGGTTTCAGGTCGCCCCCCGGGCTCGGATGGCTTGTGAAGTCCGGTGGAAGCTGCTTTCCCTTTTCGAATTTGGTCCAAGACCCGCAATCCAAGACCTGCTGTCCTCCCCTGTGGAGTGGCTGAAATGGGAGGCCTAGATCTCCATCTCACTCTGAGGTCCAAGAGGTGTCCCAGGAGTTTACTACCGATATGTTTTCGTGGATCCACAATGGGTGTATCTTAGAAGCAGGAGATCCTCCATCCACTGTGGTGTATTCTTTTCATGTGTTTTCTTCCTGGTCTCGCAGATCTTTCGCCCCAGCCCTGGAGGGGTCTCCCGTGGTCCGTGACCTCGGGTGAAGGTCTCCAGGGCCTCTCCACACTCCCTGGAGCGTCCGCCGACGGCCGTGGGGCCGCCGTGGAGAACCCAAAGACTCGGAAGATGAAATCCACTGCAGACAAGGCGGTTTACACTTCTATATCCTAGATCGACTATGCAACATGTATGCCGAACTGGGCTGGTTTTGTACACAAAAAGGCATCAATGTTGCATAGTTGGAAGATCTACCTGGACCTGACTTCAAGTACCTTAGAACATGGGACATGACGTGACATGACTCCATTAAAACAGGTACTTGTACCATCTTGTACCCATTTTCCCCCGAGGTACGAGTTCCGGGTCGACTCCAGGTATAAACAGATTGAGAACTTGGGAGATGCCCCCTTTTTGGATGGTTGGATGGTTGATGTTCCTTCCGACAAGGGGTCGGTTGGGGAGGAGGTCGAGACCTATGAAAAGGTTTTCAGCCATGCCAGCCACACTTTTTGTTGGTCACTTATTCTTCGCCTTCAAATTCAGGTTGCTCTCATGGAGCAGCAGGAGGATTTTTTCGACGACAAGGTCTTCGAAAAGAGTCGCCAGCAGATATACAAGGCGCTGTGAGATGCCGCGAGCGCATATCGAGGTCGAAGCGCGTAGATGGAGTGATTAGGGCCGTATGGTGCGCATATCTACAGCGAAGAAAGCACTCCGCAAGCGGAGAATGGAATCATTCTGATCATTAATCCTTTTGAATTAAGAATCCGGGCCCTCAAAGACAGGGTTTGGAGGGTCCCGACTCCTATGCAGGGCCTCAGGATTCTTAGGGCAAGCTGACTGAAAGCCTTGGATGGCTCTTTTACATTGGTCAATGTTCCAGTCCCATTTCCATTTTTGGACACATCTTTGCTTCCCTCACGCAGCTCGTCCGGGACCTTCTGAAACGGCGCGATCCGCTCTACGGAGATCCGCCATGGGGAGGAACTGGCGATTGTGGCGCACGAGCAGGGCTTTGATGATAAGAAGATCATGGCCAGGCAGATGCAGATCACATGCGACGACTGGCTTCGCGGGCGAAGCCATGAAAAGGTATGCCATGAAAACAGAGATGGTGAGCATTCTGGGACAAAGACAAAGAGCTTTTCTTTTTGGGTGGTGTGTGTGTGTGCGTGGGTTTCTTGGAGATCCTCAGATGACTCAGATGGATGGTTCAAGTTCTTGGACTTCTTTGGAAGATTCGGACATGAAAGGCAGATCCAGGCTGGATGCCAGGCTGTAGTGCTTGCCCCAGCGCGGGACACGTGAATCATCCGCTTTCCAAGTTCGGCGACCGCCGTCGTGTTTGGGGGGGGATGTTGTTTTAGGGTGAATCTCCATTCTGGTGAACATGTTTCAGATACGTTTACATGGTAAATGTACTTTGTTATATTTATTCCCCATCAAGACATCCACACATCCAAGACATGATAAGACATGTCCCTTAGATGGGGGGCAAGACTGTCGACATGAAGATTCCCATGGATTCCCACGGATTCTCTTCAACAAATCCAAGACATCGCCGCTGCTACACGGTGAGGCGAAGCGACCACTTAGATACCAGGAGCCGACCCTCCAAACTTCAAGTCAAGGACCCAATCTCAGCGAAAGGCTTTCTGGGAGTTCAAAACCATGCATCTACCAACCAAAACAGACATGCAGCACATGCAACCTGTCCCTTGGGATCCTTTGGGTGGTTGTGTTCCTTTGGACTTTTTGGATGAAGAATAATGACATTTGATAGACATATCTTGCGCTGCAAGATCCAGGCCCTGGGAGTTCAAGATCTCGTCCGTCAGCGGCCCTGAACCCGATAATCATCATGGGACCCTACTAACCAGCACCCGACTTCACAGGTCACCAATGGAATCCTCTGGTGCCTAACAAGCCATTTCGGAGACCTGTAGAATCGGGTGCTGGTATAGGAATGGAACCAGGGTTTCGTGAGGTCTATGGTTGGAGTCGAACCGGAACTCCCAGCGACCTCGTGGTAACATGTGGTAACTGGATGCCATGATTTGGGAGGGTCGGGACCGTCTTGGAGCCCCGGCGCCATTGGCACCTTCAAAACGGGGCTGGTCACTGGACTTATAGACGATCTACAAAAGCCAAGTCGACCGAACTCTTTGGGTCCGAAGGCGAAACGGGAGATGAAGATGAAGTCGAGTGGATCAATGGATTTGGGGTCCAAAAAAGGAAATGCCTGGACCATCCTGGACCCAGTATATACGTTAGAACATGTTAGAACATGGTATCAGTATCAAAACAGGTACCCCATCAAAACAGGTACCATCTCGTACCCCATGTTCGTTACGAACTCAGACAGTCCGGACGTGCTGCTCGGGACGGCACGGGACGGCGGCGACGCGCCAGGCTTCACCTCACCGGCCTCGGAAACGCGGGCAACGCTGCCACTCGGAAGAAGTATAGCTGCCGCTCCAGAAAGCAAGGGTAGGAGGAAGAGCTGCACATCGTGAGAGATCTCAGATGGTCATCATCATCGTCGTCGTCGTCGTCGTCGTTGTCGTCGTCGTTGTCGTCATCATCATCGTCATCATCGTCATCGTCGTCATCGTCGTCGTCGTCGTCATCAACATCAACATCATCATCTTCGTCGAAGAGTTCTGCTTTGCTCACAACCGCAAGACATGCCGTAGAAGACTTATCGGTCGTGATCGTTTCAACTCGACTTCTGCTCAGGTGAGATTAAATTTGGAAGGGTCAACGCGCTTTTTTACAGATGCGCACATGTACTCGTAGTACTATACACATGCACAGACACACGCACGGCTGTAAGGGTGTAGCCTATAGGGGGTCAAGATCAAACTCGAGTTTGAGCTAGCCAAGTGGTGAAGCATCTGAACTTGGAGCTATAGTTCCGGCCTTGATCCTCAAACAGTTCTGTCCCGGGCACTCACGCACGAACACTGGACATGCGCGAGCTAACGTCGCCGCAACCTGTGGTCTTTGGCCGCAAGGGTGATCCTTGTGGTCTTTCAGCCTCTGTTGGCAGGACAAACAGTCGGGCTTGCCTTCTTTTCATATGAACGCAAGTGCATGCCTTGATCAATTATTTTATAATTCATACATGGCTGCCACAGGGTCCGACCTTTAGGCGCATCATATAGCGCTATGAAAGAAACTAAAGGTCCTAGAAACTCATGCCATGGCTCATGGATTCTCATCGATCTACAACTCCTCAGGTCCTGCGCCGTCGAAGCTCGTTTCGCCTGGACACCGCTCAATTTCGCCGTTTGTCGAACACCCCATGGAATGGGGCGGGCCATCAGCGGCCAATGTAGCCTACCCAGTCGGTGGATAACCCTTAACCCTTAACCTTTTTTTGGAATTGGTTCCTTTAACTAAAACAAGAACAGGTGGGAAAAAGGTTAACCTTTATTTCCAGGGAAACTGAGGGAGCCAAGGAGGCATATCTTTCCACAATCAGATTCATCGTATGGTCTCAAGTTTTTTCCTGAATTGGTGCCGGAACACATGTTCAAGCGGCATATGACCTGGGCGAAGCGGCACAACATAGCGCTCAAACGGCGCAACATGGTGGTCAAACGGCAGAAACGCGTTGCCACAGTTTTGAGTTCTTGGGTTGAAAACAATGAAGGCTTGAAACGACTCTTTTTCTTGAAACGGCATTGCCTAAACGAAACTACAAGGAAAACGGGCGTTTCACCAAAATGTTTTTTTTTCACAGACGGGTGGGACGGTGGGCCCAGGAGGAGCGTCTGTGTGTTGTTCTCTTTCCTTTTCTTTCGGGGCAAACCATTTTCATCGGTGGCTGATCTCCGTGGCCCGTCCTGGCCCGCCCTGCATGATCCACATGCGGCCCTCTTTAGGTGACGCAGCACCTGAAATGGGCCACGCGTTTTCACCGGCTGCGCGGGGTTCATGTCACCCCCACCGTCTTCGTGAATGGTTTGGAGGCGAGGTTTTTTGAGGACGTGGCTTGGGAGTATGTGTTGCACCCAAAGAATCTTTAAACACAAAGTAAGTCATTTCACTATTAGGTCAACCGAACACCTTTTTTGGTGGTCGAACTTAAAGGCGAGCGGGTAGATGAAGACTCGCGTGCACCAGTGGATTTGGGTTTATACCTAGAAGATCCTTTGGGCAGAAATTCTTGCCTTTTTCGGGAAGAGCGGCTCTTCCCGTCCTGGGGCGGAAATCAGCTGTTTGCCGCGGATATGTTTTTGTTGCCGCGAATATTCCCTTTCAGGAATCCAGTGAGACAAAGACTACATATTCTAGAGGAGTTGAATATTTTTGTGGTTTACATTGGGCATTTCTGCCTGGAACGGTCACCGCAATGAGAAAAAACTTGCAGCGCTTAAGTTTCCACCTCCACCTGCAAATCTGGCTACCATCATATCATATATTATGTGTCTTTGTTTTTGAAGGGTTCTTGTGCGGAACTAAAATCAGTCCAAAGTTGAAAACACCTGGCGCGAAAATGCCCGGGAAAAAGGCAGAAATACCCGGGAAAGAGGCGGAAATACCCGGGAAAACGGCGGAAATACCCGGGAAACCGGCGGAAATTTCCTGGTAGAAGGCAGGATTCAAGAACAGTGCCTTTGATGCCTTTGAAGGGCTTGAACATATGTCGCAGCCTCTTTGTGAATGTCATGAATTTAGAAGTGTCAAAATCGTAGGGTGTCAGATCTTGAGATGTGAAGCTATGCAGAACGATATGTGGTCTGCAATCATGGAAGAGACAACCTGGTAGGTTGTAATGGTTTTTGAGTTGCTATGTTGGATTTTGCTTGAGGCAAAAATTCCCTGCTGCCCGCGGAAATTCCTACCTGGCGCGGATTTCCCCTAAATCCGCGAATCCTCCCGGGCAAATCGGACTGAGGCAGAAATTTCTGCCCCAGGTGCTTCTAGGTATGGTCAGGTCGTTTGCTGTTTGGTTTCATATTTGGCGAAGTCGAATTCGATGTGGGGAGAAAAAACCTTTTGGCCGGTGATGTGCTGTTTTTGTTCGTGATTGCTTGTGTGTGCGTGCCTTGCTCCTCCCAGTAGTAAGGTCAGGAGCCCCTAGTAGCGTCCTTGCTCCTAGTAGTAAGGCCAGGAGCCTCTAGTGGCGTCCTTGCTCCTAGTAGTATGGCCAGGAGCCCCTAGTAGCGTCCTTGCTCCTAGTAGTAAGGCCAGGAGCCCCTAGTAGCGTCCTTGCTCCAGTAGTAAGGCCAGGAGCCCCTAGTAGCGTCCTGGCTCCTAGTAAGGCCAGGAGCCCCTAGTAGCGAAGGGGACACTATGGGAATCTCATCGATTCACACAGTTTGGTCACTGATGTGTTCTTTGTGCCAACCATCGAGTCTCTGCTTTTTCTCGGAGCGAGGCGTATTGAATGTGTTTGCACCAAACAATTTGGAGGCTCAGACATGGCTACATTGGCCACCTTCGTTTTAAGACATGGGAGCAGAATGAATCAAGGGTAGATATGTTTGATTGGGTTTGTTATATTACCCGAAAGAGTCGGCAAACAAGAACATCACTGAACCAAGGCCTGCTGTTCTTTCATGTTCTTTCTCCATCATCAGGTGCCCCCTGGTCCCCCTGGGCCCCTGGTGATAGGATAGACCCAAGTTATAGACATGCAAGTTCAGACAATTTTGGGTTTGCATGTTCTGTGGTTCACTTTCCGAAACCATGTTCTTTTGCCTGACACGATCCGACCCGGTGGCCCCTGGGCGCGGGTCGACCTGGGCGCGGGTCGCAGCTAGCAGAGTGGACACAACACCGACAGATACCTGGGTAAGGGAACCCAGACCATCTGACCATCCGTGCCTGGAACAGTTATTAATAATATATATATATATATAATGTATATGTGTATATCAGGGTCACAAGTGAGGTCTAGGGGCCCATGGGAGCAAACCGACCATCGCAGGCGGGCATTGTGAGCAGCGACTGGAAGCCGGATGAATGGGAGGCCTTTTTAGCCACTTGGAAGTAGCTCCACGGGTCCCTCTGCCAATGTACCCGTATGTGATCACCACGATTGAGTAGTATACACTGGAGCAACTCTCCACTGGTCACTGACGCTTGGTGAATCCTGGAAAGACCTCAGATTTAGTCAAATGCAATTATGATACTCGTACCTGATCCTATTTAGGCAACGTCAACACTCTTTCTCAACCAACCCTTGGATCACATGTCCACCTCAGATCACATGTCCTTTGTCATAGATGCTCCAATGCAAGTGGTCAGCTTCCGCTTCAAGGAGCTTCGAAGAAACAATCGTTTCCATGCAGTGGCGAAGCCGAAGCAAAGATTGTCCAACGTCTATCGTTAGCACCAAATCATGCCTTCGATCACGCAAAGATGGGCCGGGGATCCGCCATCCGCCCCTCACTATGTTTGAAGATGTTTGAAGCGTCCATCCCTGGCGTCGGACATATGTGGATCTATACCAAGGCCCACTTTGGGACGGTGAATGGACACATCTCGTTCCGGTCTCCCGGACGAGGTCCGACCTCCGGACCTGGCCGACCTCGATGGAATCGATTCGGTCGAATGCCCCAGTGCCATGACCCCCAACGCCCAGGATTGGCACGTGAACAAGACCAGCACCTGAGGGTTTGTCGACCGGCGCCGTCGACCGGCGACGACTGTAGCACGTGAGCAAAGAGCTAAAGGTCGGCACTCACGTTTCTTCAAAAATGAGCAAGTTGCATTTTCCTTGAAAAAACGATACCAATCCCAAAAACGATACCTAGCCTTGTGACGGTACACATCTTGGAATCTATCTTTGCCTGGAGACAATGTTGACACTCCAGACAGTGTATGTCCAAGGTTTTTTTGCATATGGTTTGCCATGCTAGCTGGACATTCCATTTCATTTTTGCTAATTTTCCCTTCTTTTTCTTCGATGGGAAACAATTATGGGTTCAGACCGATACCAAAAACGATACCAAACGACACCCACTTCATAGGTCTGCATCCCCTCAGACACCACCTGCCCACTCACATGCCACTACTACTGCTACTCTACTACTACTACTACTACTACTACTACTACTACTACTACTACTACTACTACTACTACTACTACTACTATGACGACGACGACTACTACTACTACTGCTACGACGACTACTACTACGACGACGACTACTACTACTACTACGACTACGACTACTACTACTACTACTATTTACTACTACTATACTACTACTACCACTACTACCACTACCACTACTATACTACTGCTACTCCTACTACTACTACTAAACTCCTACTACTACTACTACCACCACTACTACTACTTCTACTTTTACTACTACTACTACTACTACCACTACGACGACTACTACTTCTACTGCTACTGCTAATGCTACTGCTACTCCTACTACTATTACGACGACGACAACAACAACAACTACTACTACTATTACTACTACTACTACTACTACTACTACGACTACTACTACTACTACTCCTCCTGCTGCTGCTGCTGTCATCATTTGCAAGATCACCTTCCAGAGCAAATTACATTTAGACGATACCTCCCCCCCAAAAAATGCATATGAATTGAAAAAACGATACCAATCCCAAAAACGATACCATGCTCTAAACGTACCACCAAACGACCCCTAGTTTTGCCGGTCGCTCACGTAAGTGTGGGGGGTGAACTCCGCGCAGATTGCAGATATATAGGATTATGTATCATGGTACCGGGTACTGGAATATGAGATGAGATGACCTACAGGGTTGAAGCCCACAAGCCGATCATTTGGGCCATAATCTCTTCGAATCTCTTTACATTATTACTTATTTGCTGCTTTGCCAGGATCATGGAGCGCGTCCAAATTAGCTGCTCCTGTCTTAAGTTGGAGGCAGACAACATTTAATAGCATGTAAGTCAAGCACAAGGCCTGGATCAGACTCTCTTTGTTTCGAGCAGATTCGGATGAGTTGTGAAGGTCTTGTGCACTACAAGGTGCACCCCAGTTGTACCGACACGACCATTGACAAACTGAACATGAGGCATTCACAGACTCCAGTCTAAAGAGATTCTTGCAATACAAATGGTGCCACTTTAAAACAAGGAACTATCACTATATATATATAGTCTACAGTGGATACATGTATCGCATGCATACACCAAGCCTTGGCGCTATCCGCCAAAGAACCGAAAGAACCGACCGTCGATCCAGACACTCGCAGACCGACGTGAAAAAACAGAACGCAAGAGACGACAGAACGTCACCCGATCCCCAGGAAAAGGTGGCATCGCCCGATCAGTTACGGTCTCTCCACTTATGATATGAAGGTGAAGGAATCATGATATGCAGGTTTTTTTCCGCGGAACTTCAGTTCAGGCGGTTTGGGTTTGGTCAAAGGAGGTGCCTATAGTTCTTTGTTCTGCAAAACATCATCACCTCTATTCTCCAAGAAAACCACGGGAGTCGCGCTCCATCACGTAAAGCGCGTGTTCCGTGCACCACACGACGGCCACGACGGTCACGCCGCCACGTCTCGGTGTGGGACGAAAGTAGCAACCGCGCTCCAAAAGCAGCGACGGCGGCCCGGGTGTGGCTGATATTTGGAGTGTTTTCCTAGACCTAGTGAATTCGTTTTTAGAGGATCTATATAATTCGAAAGATGGCTTGTTCTTTCCAAGTTCCTGAAAGATCCTGAAAGCCAATCCAACATGAGTTTGTGAGGAGTTTCTTCCCGACTCACAGTTGCCAAGAGAACACGCCAACAGGGTTTCTTCGGTCCGTGTTTGAGCAGCTCCCACACTCCATCCAACGCTCACCGGGCTCCGGTCGCAGCGCGTATGCGACGACCTCCCTGGAATGACCAAACCGAATTCGACGGCTAACCGTTGGGGCCCAACCTTCCGGGGTCAGTTCCACATATTCAACCTTCGGTTGATGAATTCAACATCAGTTCACCCCGCGTAGCCCTAGCAGAATGGTTTACTGTTACGTTCCAGGCCTGGCAAGTTTTTATTCATCAACACTACAGGTTCTTGGTGCAGGCTTGGGCTGCCCGCATGGCACCAGGGAGGTGTACATTATATGTATACTGAATACATAATTAGTTGCAAGCAAGAGTCATACATGGGGTGAATGTATGCAATGTTGATTCCATTTATGGCTGATCTGGGCATGAACCACTTCCTGAGATGACCTGAAGACCACGAAACAACTCTTCAACCAGTGGTTGCATTGGGTATATACCTTGAGTAGGCACAGAGGACCATGAGTTTTATTTAACTCGCTGTGAGTGCTTCATTGAAGATCCATGTAGCTAATCATGGATGTGCATCTCTATGTCTACCTGTCCAGGGGACGCTGCCGACTGCGAATCCCAAGGAAGCCAGAACTGCTTAGCCACTCCAACTGCGCCGCCCCGGACGGACGCCTTTTCAACCACCCGGATCTAGGTGAATATACGACATAGGATACACCAGCACCACCCAGGAACTGGGTAGTTATTAGATCATCTTCTGGGGGTCCTATCAACCACCCTGCATCGCGACGCGGTTGAGGGGACGCTGAAGCGCCGGTGCGACACTCGTGTCGTCGCGCTTGCCAGGCCGGACGAGGGATGTGAGCAACACGGTCTATGCCAACAACGCAGGCGGTCAGTGCCGAACTGTTTGGAGTGATCAAAACTGGCGGTCATGACCAACACGGGGCGCCCCCGCCGATGACCTTGGCAATATCATGTGTTTGCCTTTGCCAAAGTGCCATTTAAAAAAAAAACATTATCAGTTGCCTAAAAAGAAACGATAGGGCTAAGCAAGAATCAGATAAATGAGTTCTTGGTTTCGTTGGCACACCTTTGGACATAATAACCAGCCTCCAAGAGCATTTAAAGTATATCGCGACAAACACAGGCCTTTGTTCTTCACAGCTCAGCTCAAGTGTTCCCCTCGGCAGTGTTTCAGCCAAGGGAGGGTCCTAGTCTCCCAGTCACAGGTCAATACCCTACAGGGATTCTTGACCTCATTTGACTGGAGGTGGTCAATATATACAAGCACTACTTAAGGATGTAAAAGGCCAGGTTTGACTGGGTCCGACTGGACTTGTAGGGATATATTTGGGAAAGGCCTGCAACCTGGTTGCCTCATCGTCCACTGGCTCTGGTAATGGTGGGACACCAATCCATGGGACTGGAATCTTGACCTACAGGAAACCCGTAGAACACATCTTGATGCATCTTAAATGTAGGGTTCTATCTATTTGCTGCAATCTTGTTGCCATGGCCTCCCCTGGCCAGGGCTCTATTTGCCGGGCCTCGCTGAGCTTTGCTTGAGCGCCTTGGCCACCTTCCAGTGGCCCTGCGCAGCCAATGTGTATCGCACCGCTCGGGCGATAGAGGTGTCGGTGCCCTGCCACACGGAGCGGGGACTCGGCACGGGGGGGGACACGAGCCACAGCGGCGATGGGGGGCGTCCAGAAGTGGCCCAGCAGCCCGTCGACAGGAACCTGAAACTTGAAACACGACAAATTGAAGACTGTTGATGAACAGAACCTCCAAATGAAGACCTTTTACAATTAGGCTGCTGGGCTCAAGGCCTTAAGCCTGAGGGAGTGCCGAGACCCCGGGGTCCTGTAGCCCTCATTCATTTGAGGGGGCAGGACGTCCATCAAGGCCGTGGCCATCTCGCGTGTGGTTGTGAGTTGGCCTTTGACCTTGTTGGACACGCGCCATGGATCCGTGGCTGGATGTCTTGCAGATGGCCGACAAGATGCTCACTCAGCATCGCCTGGCTGCATTGAGAGAGTTCCTCCATGCACACCGGAGTCGCTGCCCCGGTCCGGTGATCGAGGGCGCGGTGTGCATGGTTGGCTACATCGTGTCAATGTGCTCCGACACCATCCAGCTGCAGCGGAAGCCTTTTGTCCCGTGGGAAGGCTTCGTGACATCGGTTGACAGTGTGGATAAGGTCAAGGTGACCATCGCCAAGCTGGGACGAAGGCCGATCAAGCTTCGAGTGGGTTCGGAAATTATCATCCTTGGCAAGGTTGTGGATCATGGTGATCAGCTGTCCTTTGATGAGGAAGCAATTCTTCTGCACAGGCCATGCTTTGATCGCGAACTCCCATTCAATGCATTGCACCTCTTTGCCGGTGCCTTTTGTGGATGGGCTCGTGCCCTTGGCTGGCTACATGATCATGTTGATGGAGTCACGTGTGGCTCCCAAGTGAGTGTTGATGCCGACGCCATGGTGCTGGAGACCTGGTCCAAGCAGCATGGCTATGAACACTACGTAGGGACTACATCTCCGTTCTCAGGTTGGGACCCCACGGAACACATTGGTATTTGCACCCAGGTCAGTGACAAGACCTTGTTGCGACGCTGCCTTTGGCCGTCCAACGCCATCTCCACAGTGTCCCCACCGTGCGTGTCCTGGTCCAGAGGAGGAAAACGAGAAGGATTGAACTGCACGTCAGGTTTTGCTGCGTTCGATGCTGTACAGACACTTGAAGCGCAACAACCGTTGCTGATCTTCTTCGAGTGTGCAGATGAGGTGATGTCTCATGACCATTTCCAATTGTTTAAAGCAGCCCTCCAAATCATTGGGTTCGAGCAAGTGTGGCAACAAGTGGTCCCTCTTAATAACCTCACGCATAACTCCAGATCACGCTGGCTTGCCGTCTGGAGGCGCAAGGACTTCGCATGTGACCCCATCCATGCCACGGTCATCCCACGTGCACCACCCTTGACTTGGTGGAATTCGGCCCTAAACCAGTTTTGGGTACCTGATTGCATTCGTGAGCAGCTCGTCCTTGATCAACATGCCCTGTCCAAGTATGGTGACCCTCAACTGTTACCACCTGCAAAGAGAGCCCGACTCCAGTCTGGCACATGCAATGAGGTTCTCTCGAAACGCATCCCACCGCCAGGAGAGCCACTGCCTACCTTATGCAGCTCGTACACAACGCAGCACCACTTAGCTGTCGACCACCTGACCGACAAGGGAATTTTCGCATGCCTCATCAAGAGTGGGCCGGATTTCGAATTTCTGAGTCCTTTGACATTCGTGCCGTTGCTAGGTACCACCGACCGCATTGTCTTGCCGTGTTCGGTCCCGCAAGCCTTCCACTTCCTCGGCAATGCGATTGCACAACCGCACGCACTCTTGGCCTTGTCCATCGGGTTCATTGCTATCAAGCAGACTCCAGTCACCTTGAGTCAACTCATTCGTGATTCCTGGAATGATCGCATGACATCAGTCAATGCCATTGTTCACAAACAGGGTGATTGGATCACAGTGCAGAAGTTTGATGAGTTCCTGAGGAACCTGGACTTCCGGTTCTTTTTGCTGCCTCAGCCTGAGAAAGCTTATATGTGTGTTCGACTTTCCCAAACGATCGGTTCTGCTGCCAGGGATACTAGTGTCCTCTCAGACGCTACTCTGCATGACACAGTCCGCCAGATCCTGTCCTTTGGGGAGGTTGATGAACGTGAAATCACTTTCGCTTCCACCGCTGGTGACATCCCAGGCCATGGCATGATTTCCCAAGTCCTGCGACAGCATTCGACCATCGTTTGCAAATGGCGTGATCGCATCTATGCAGAGCTTTCCATTGGAGGACGGCTCTTCCCTGAGGTCATCCCGCCGGGTGATGATGTTGTCTCTGCGACCATTCCCTTCACGGCATGTGAAGAGGAGCCACCAGCCGACATCGTGTGTGGATCTATGACCTTTGAGCAAGCCACCAGCCGACATCGTGTGTGGATCTATGACCTTTGAGCAGCTACGACAAGTCCCAACTTTCCTTGAGGCCCTCACCCTTGTTGAACAACACCACAAGCAAATGAGGGCAAGTGAAGAAGTGCTCACTTCCGCTGCACTTGCTTGGGAAACACCTGCTATGGTCTTCAACATTCAAACTGTCCGCGATGATCCAAGTGGGTGCTTGCAGACTCTGCTTGATCAGCTCTACCCAAGGAAGTACCAGGTTTACATCAGCCCGGTCAAGCTGCCTCGTGTTGCCAATGGACCTCTCATCCTTGTCAGGGAGTTTGACCGCTCCTCTGATGCACTTGTCCTCATCACTAGCAATGCTGATGCGGTTGGTGTCCATGTCAAGACTGTGCCTCGGTCGCTCCCTGCGGCCACAGTATGTGTGCTACCTGCGGGGCCACATAAGCTCTTGATGCACAACTACCACCCGATTGTTGAAAACCAGGTCTACTGCCATACTGGTGACATCTTGACAGTTTCCAAGATTGAACCACCAGTGCATGCAGGTGGGCATCACCGTGACGATCATGTGGAACCGCTCCCTGCGGGTGCTTCCCTCAGCCAACGTGCCCAATTCTCTGCCAGAACTCACGGATGGGCTGCTTCGGACGAACTACTGGCTTGTCTTGGCCTTCTTCAGCAAATTGCCCCAGAGTTTCTTCACTCCTTCGGCATTCAGATGTGGCGGCCCGGGCTCGTCGAGTTTGAAGAAGGACCCTTTGGAGAGATGCATTTTGCCCCCAACGGGCTGTCCTGTCTCATTTTGCTGGTGGGAGCGCATTGGGCACTTGTCGAAGTCACTCGCCGTCTTGATCGGGTACGCATTGCCGTGAGTGGGTTGTCCCAGCATGCAGCGCAGAGGGTTGCCATGATCACATGCCGCCTCCTCGATGTCGCGCCCCATCGAGCCTGTCTGGACTTTGATTTTGTGCAGGCTACTCCACATATGTGTGGTTGGACTATCCTCTTTCGCCTTTTTGCCAGAGCGGAAGCCCTGGATTACTTGCCAGATCAGAGCTATTTGTGGTCCATTTTGACTCCCAATGAGCAGAGCATTATCAACCAGGTCCAGGCTGCCTCTCAGAATCACTGGCTTGCTGTGTGTCAGGATGCTGCTTTGCGTGGTTTTGCGTACAACATGCGCCTCCAGTTCTTCATTGGACTTGCCCTTCAGGCCAGGAATACTGATGCTGTCACTACGCATCCGATTCAGGTCACCTTCGGCCCTGTCTTGGCCGACACTGGTTCATCACCTAGCCAACCAGTTCTTCCTCTCCCTGCTCCGCTCCCAGATGGCCAGAGGAATCATCATGATGATGCCACTCAAACAGAGGCCGGTGATCGCATTTTGTCTCGCTTGCAAGCCTGTGCCGACAATCCTGGCTGGTTGTTTTCGGACACGCTCGACTACCTCCTCGACAGACTTCGTGACCGGGCTCCGCATGTCCTTTTTGCACCACCAGCTCAATGGAATCGGCTCCACCACACGATCAGCTTCTACAATGACTACAAGTGTGACATCTCAGGGTTCACGTCTGTGCTGCTCTTTCTCAACTGGGACAGTCATTGGCTCCAGTGCGAGATTCACCAGGAGAGTTGGGAACACAGCATTGTTGTCTATGCACCGGAAGTTCTCAGATCTCATGCTCAGAGCCTCGCCAATGACCTTGCTGCCAATTTGATTCCGGCTGACACAGTGTTGCGGACCCACTTTGTTTCGCACAATCCTCCCACTCATGTCTGTGGGTGGACGCTGTTGTTCGCAATCTATCGACGCTTTGGCACCATCATGCAAGCTCCGAGCCCCTCCCAGTTGAACACCTTGAGGAACAGCAATCAGGCACCCTGGTACATTTGGATTCAGCAGCATGCCGCTCTGCAGTGGGGCCTCACTATCCCACAAGAGCTCCGTTCTTTCGCCGCCACAGGCTTGATCCAACACCTCTTGCGCATCGATGAAGGCAGATTTCCTTCACAGTATGCAGCTGCAGGTGCCGTCGAGAGCAAGGCAAAAGCCAACACAGGAGCTGTGGTTGATCCCCTGTCGATCAACGACCCCTGGGCACGCAAGAGCAGCCCCTCCCGCTGGGAGGACCTCGTCCTCGAAAAGGCACACCCCTTCCACGACGAGAAGGGTGCTATCCTCCCCCAGCTCCACCGGTTGCAGGTCACCGGGCATGACAGTGGTGTCATCCTCACAACAAAACAGCACCTTCCAGACCTGGCCAAACTTGGCACCAAGCAGACGCTGGTTGCTCTCCTCCCCCAGCTCGATGACGCCTCCAAGAGCGCACTGGGCAGCTCCGTTGCCGGACCGTTCGAAGTCATATTACATGACAAGGCCGTGCGCCAGACGTTCAAACGCGTCATGCACGCGGTCCCGATCTCAGGTCGCTTTGCCTTCACCCTGAAAGAGCCTGCGTGCGAATTTTCCACTTCGGAAATTGCCGAGTTGGTCATCGAACTTGACAGTCGACTTACCTCCAAAACGGAATTTGACACTGCGGCTGCGAGTCCTGTATCCTTCTTTAAGGACTACATCATCAAGCACGTCCCCTCGATCAAGGACCAAGTGACGCTTTACGGCTTTCGGCGCAACCACCACCCTTCCGCTGGCAAGGGCGATGACATGCTGCAAATCGTCATCAAAATCCCCAAATCAGCAAGGGGCACGCTGCTTGGCATCAGCGGCACTGAGTCAATCCTCATCCGTGACTACCTCAACAAGAACACCAATATGATCGACATGACAGTTATCCCGCGCTTCTGGGATATCAACCAGAAGGGGCTCCGAGAGCTGCTCATTAGCGTCCAGGATGTTGTTGGTGCTGCTGGAGTTATGCTCACGCGGCGGGGCTTAGCCATCCGTGCCTGGGCCAAAGATGTCGCTACTGTCCGGAAGAAGATCTTGCCTTCAGACCCAAGGCTCACAGAGACCAATCTCAGCGTCGTGCCACGCCTTGTCCTCGACTCTTCCGGGTGGCCACCTGGTGCGGCTGCCTCTGACATCTGAGGCTGTGAACAAAGCGGTTGGCAGTGCGCCCGTGCCTACGCGCACATTCCGCTCCGCAGGAGTGCATGTGTGGCAATTGGGATTCGAGGCTCCTCCCAAAGCATCGGATTTCACCGTGAAGATCAATGGGGAGCTCTTTCAAATCCTGTTGACTCCTTCGAGTGCCGCTGAGAAGGGACAAGGGAAAGGGAAGTCATCCAAGAAATCCTTCAAGCAGAAGCAGAAGGAAGAGGCTGAAGCTTCATCTTCCTCTGTCACTGCTCCTGCCTCCTTCAATCCAGATCGACGCCGCCTCGACACACTCGAAGCCAAATTCGACACTCTCCAAGGGCAGGTCACTGGCATCGAAAAGAAGCAGAGCGTCATGGAAACGAAGCTCGACAGCCGATTTGATGACATCAGTGACACGCTTCGGCAGCTTCTCCAGATGTCTACTTCTCGCAGCCATGAGAAGACCGGGGAGACACCTCCCTCCAAGATGCCCAAGATGTCGTGACATGCCCGTGCAGGGCGCAGCATCGTGATGTGGTGGCTTTTGGTCACCCGCCTTTTGTGTCCCATGTCTGTCACGCAGGCCTGGACTTGGCCATGTGTCTGTGCCCTGCCATTTCCTCCTGGGTTGCATCCTTGTCTGATGCTCATGTTTCAATTTGCCTTTCGTGCGAAGCCAATCGTTGCTTCCTTGATAATGTGCTACCCCTTGCCGCAATGGACTTTCCGTCTGTTCGTCTTTGCCATTTCGGTCCTTGTCTGTGTGTCCATCTGTGGCCGTGGGCCTGCCCTGGCAAGCCACTCTCAACTGTGCTCTCAGAGTGTGGCCTGCCGGATCGCCAATTCGGAGGGCTGTTCTAGAAGTCACCAACACAACCTCGTGCAGCGCCGTCCAAAAGGGTGCATTTTGCGCTCGCCTCGCTTCGGGTCATCCATGTCGGTTTTTTGTGGTGCCCTTCATGGGTGCTTCATTTTCTGTTTTCCTTCTGGTTTCTTCTCTTTAAGGGAGGCCTATGACTTTCGTTTGCGCTTTGCCTTTGACCATACCCTGGGCTTTCCGGGAGAGGGTCCAGTCAATTCCCAGCTTTGGTCGATTGCGACGATCAATATCGGGTCCCTCAAGACGTCCACAGCCTGGAGAACTTGCGAAGCCAATGTCACCTGTTTACAAGAAACGCGCATTGGCACTTACGGGTTACACCACGCCTCCAAGACTGTTGAGCAACATGGCACATGCCTTTTTCATGGCCGCCCTCTCCCTGGGTTGTTATCAACGCATGGTGTGACAAGAACGCCTCACGGAGGTGTGGCCATTCTTGCTGCCAGAGAACTTGCCACAGAATTTCGACCACAAGAAGATGCCACTGGGCTTTACGACCAGCTCTTTGCAACACGTCGGGTCACTGCGTGCTGGGTCCAAGTTCAGCCTACTCTCAAATTGCTGGCCTTCTCCTTCTATGGTAAAACTGGTGCTTCTGCCGACAAGGCAATTTTGGAATTTAATGACAACATCCTCAGGGACATCTTGACAGTTGCGAGCCAATTTGGCGATGTTCCAGTTGTCATAGCTGGTGATTTCCAAGTTGCTCCTGAACACTACACTGCGGTTACGCATGCTGTTCACTATCACCAGTGGTGTGACGTTTTGCAGTATGCGGATGAGGATGGAGGGTTCAGACCACTTACCTTTTCATCAAATGGGTGCTTCACAGGCCCTGGAGACGGATGCAGTTGCATTGATGGGATCATCACAAACTCTGTTGCAACAGCAGCCCTTATCAATGCCGAGGTCTTGCCGTACCTCCGGGTCCAACATCGGCCTGTTCGCGCCTCGTTCAATTGGAAGGTTGTTTGGCAGAGAGGTTTTACCTTATTCAAACCTGCTCCCTTTGCTTTTCCACCTTCCTTTTCGAGTGACAGCACATGTGAAGATGTTTCTAGCTTGCACCATCTTACTGATGTCAACCAAATCTGGCGTGAAGCCAACCAGCAATGTGTAGAT